TGTCTATAAGCTTTCCTGTTAAAGGTGAAGGATTTGGATTGCTCAGACAATTAAGAGCCCATTTTACCAAGTGTAATTTCATATCTGCGTTCTATAAACTGGAGTGCCTTCAGCATTGTAAATAATAAAAATTGCCCTCTATTAGCATGTTTGTGGGCAGATTAAAAACAGTCTTCATTAGCATAAGTAACACTTACAGATTCTTTTAAAAGTAGAAAATTATTTGTTGAATGATAAATTGCTAGCTTTCTAGTTAGTTGCTGAAAATGTGCTCATTCAAAATGCCTACTTTAGTTTAGTCTACAATTCTCAATTTTTTTTAGTTAGAAGTACTGTTTAATGGATTATGTACTTAGTCTTTGTTCACGGTAGATGCTGAAATGCAATTCACACTTTCTGCTAAAATGTTGGTATCAAATACCTCCCTATTTAGATTGATTTCTTTTAACACCATAGATTTTTATTATACTATATGCCTCAGAGAATGATACAAAATAATCTTAAATACACTATAACCAAAAAATCCTGAGCAGGTCTTAGCATTGATACTCTAAAATATTTTCCCTTTTTAGGTTTAAGCTACAGCCTTTCTAAAAATGCTGAAGTTGTTGTTATTCTGTAAGAAATATTCATAATTTGGCAAATTATTATCAATGTAACAAATTAACCAAACAAGTTCAATTGCTTGACCTTGTAGCTTTCCCTTCTCAGACTAGATATTTTTGTGGCTGATTTGAAAAGCTTTGGCCAGAGAACATTTTTCATTATTGTAATGCTGTCCTGTTTGATGTAATTAGGGCAGATATTTACACTTTAGGTGTAGATTTCTTTTCAGTAATAAAGAATGGAAGAATATTTTATTAGAAATTCCATGTGAAAGAGCAGAAGATTTTATTTAAGCACAGCAGAGGTCTGACTGAAAAGAATAGAATTTAGATATATGGATAAAATGCATAGATGTTTTCTTTAAAATAAGCATGCTCATGGGTATTGCAGAGCCCAAGTTTTGGCAGTTATCCTCTTTGCGCTTTTCCTGCAATAGTTTGGCAGTTCAGCTTTCACAGGTTTTTTTCCTTTAATGTCTTGTTTTTCTTTACTAAATCCCTATCAGAAAACCAGACAGAAGACTCTTATTTATTTTAAATATCTTAGGTTTAGCATCTTTTTTTTTTTCACCATTTTCTTGCTTACTGTAGCAAGACCTTTGCAGATGGTACTTGGTTACTTGAAAGTGCATAACAGTATTTTCTTTGTAGCAGATGGATTTAAGACTTTTAGTTCCCAATAAATGTAGGTTTACAATACATAACTTTACAGGATTTGTGTTGTATATAACAGGTTTGAACATATTATCTCAGAATTCATCTGCATGGCATTTTCAGCTTATCCAGGGCCCATGCCAGTATTTTAAGTAATAGGGAGAGCATAGTGATTGATAGCAGCTAAAGGCGTGATTTTGAATAGAAACAAAGGTTTTAGAACAGAAGGTGTCAAATTAAACTTTGTCAGTTTGAAAAGTAGTAACATCCTGAAAGTTCTCCAAACATATTTACATGTGGCTAATGTTTATATTTTGCTTTGTACTCTCTTTATATTCAGTGTAATGTTGCCTGGCAAATTTACTCTGTTTTAAAATCAAGGTTGTTCCCAATGTCATTGCAGAGTTTTTGGGGGGTTTGCCTTTCTGCATAAATGTATCAACTTCATTATTTTAATGCTGTTTTCTTAACAATGTACTCTATATGCTGTATAAACCGGTTGTGATCTAATCTGATTTATAAATATTTCCTTATTATTTTGTGGTCATTTCCACTTCCTGTAAAACTATAAAGACAAGGAAAAAAGGAAACCAGGCAGAAATTGCTCTAGACTAAAAAAGTATGAAAGGAGAAAAACCAGCTCTGTTACACTTGCTTGTAAATTCAGCTGCATTATCTGCAGCACTTCATGCCTTTTTAGATCAAATGGAAACAAAAATTTTACATAACTTAAATATAAATTTTACAGAACTTAAAATTAACCATTATAAAATTCTAGATTGTTTTTCCTAAATTTTGTGAAATCATTTCATGCTTTTTCATGTAGGTGACTTTTATGAATGAGCTTTATTTCATGTACAGAATTTTGAACCAGAAGCTAAATTAAATACTTCTATTTGGAATTTTTAATCTTGAACCAAAAGAAAGCATATTGGGATAAAGTTCTTACTCTCTTAACAAACTAAGCCCCTACAGCCTCTCTTGCTGTCCGTCCACTATCTCATCTGAGAACATTGGTGAGATCAGCTTTGATAAATATGTACAGAAATAAACCATGAAGACCAAAAAATTGTTTCTATCCTTGTAATTGTAAAATAATTCAGTTGTTTGTTTCCATGTTTTCCATCAAATGTTTCATCAGAATGTGTCTACTTCTTTAAAAATGTGCCAAGTGGAATAGAGACATTTTGGTAGAACAGTAATCTTTTCTGTGTACCCTGTCAGAACTATCTGTCTTCATAATCTCAAAATCCCTGAAAGGCTAGCAGAGACATGTTTCAGGTTACAATTCATCAAATAATTTTAGATAAGGCATTAGAAGTATTGTTTCAGTGCAAAAATTGAGAGAAAAACCTTGTAAATACAATGTTAGCTATCAGTAGTTAATAAAAATAAGGTCTGACCTAGTAAAGACAGAAACAGAAAAGACAGTAAGGGCAGAAGGTATTTCTTAGTTAACAAAAACTATTGCAAATATGTTTAATCAACAGAAAATGTTATTGCCTAGGAATTATTTTTTCTACTTGATATTTTTTAATTATAAAGGGTTTCTACTTCCTTTTCAAGAAAAAACAAACCCTGTGATTCCCATGGTCAGCAGACAAAACACGTGCAGCTTCTAAATTCATGGTGCAACATCTCTTCCAGCCTGTGCGTATGCCTTGGAGAGGTATCGGGGTGAGGACAGGTTGTCTTGTCTTTTTTTTTTTACTTCCACCAAACTGTCATGATAGACAGCTCTGCTCTTTGTTTCACCAGTTTAGAAAGAAAACCAACACTTTCAGTGTAAAGCAGTGCAGATTCCAGACAATGAAAAGACAATTTTTATGCTTTAGCATGGGATGGTTTGTGGCTTTGGGGTTCTTTAATTAAGAATTTTGTAACTGCTCTTCAGTTAAATTATCTAGATTGGTTAATCTTCCTCATAATTTCTCCTCTGTACCCAAGAAGCTGCCTCTGCTTTCTGAGTGCACCACTTTTAACTTACTGCAATAAATGAATACTGCTGTTGAGCATCATCCAGCATTCAGTATCCTGTGGATGCAAGGTGAGCAGAGAGCCATGAGCAACACCTTGTTTTTGTTGGGGCAGGGAGAGCTCACCCTGCTAATACATTCCAGTGAGATTCCAGAGACCCTTGCTACTGTTTTGAAAACATGCCATACAATTCCAGCCAGGACAGGCTGGGTGTTGTGTGCTCTGTGTGGAGGCATTTGGTCACATTTCCAAGTCATCTTGCTAAACCCTGGAACAATATCCAGCATCCCCGCTTTGTGCATGGTCAAGGAATGGGGTGTGCTCCATCCCCAGGGTGTAGGGGAGCCCTTCTGCTGGCCCTGCTCTCCCCTGTCTCAGCTCCCTCACACACCTCATGAGCACCTGGCAGATTTTGGCCCCATTTAAATTTTTTGCTTTTTCAGCTCTGCTACCACCATCTCTATAACATTTGTCATTTTGATAGTTTCTTGGGGGCATTTTCTTCTGTGTCATTTGTTCAGTTTTTCACTTATATCCAAGCAAATATGCTTCCAATTTTTATACACACCTCACTAAATATTTTCATCTACAATATGAATGCATTAAAATTATTTGTATACTTTTAGTCTCCCCATTGTGGCAATATTTTAACTATTAGCTAAAGATATGAGTATCTTCAAGAAAATACATATCTATATTGTATCTATGAGTCTACTGTATGTGTTAGTAAACCAGTCTGGATAAACCATTAATCCACTACTGGTACATGTAAAAAGGATCTAAAAGCTTCTGTGCGTTTATATTATTTGTTGATTCAATAAAATGTCACATTATCTTTCCTACCGCATTAAGAAATAAAACTGCATGGACCTATTTTTGAAAACAGATCCTTGAAGCTAAAATAAAGGAAATATGCATGTTTTATACATGTAATATTATGTTCCTAAATTTTAATATATTAGAAAATTTCTGCTGATGTACAGTGTCCTAGCTAGAGGGTTTGCATTCCTCTTTTAGAACTACCAGTGCACAGTTGAGAAAAAAATCCTCAATTAAATTTTAAGATGTAAAGAAGCATTAAATTTTCGTGATGAACTCATATGTCTCTTTTGGAAGCAAATTAGCAACTGCTTCAGTTCTTGCAGAGGATACTGTAGCTGACTTTATATTATGTACCCCAAAGACTCATAGGCACCTTGCTGTCCGTGACATGGAAATGTATAAAGGGTGTATCAGAAGCTAGAGCACATCTTCCTTCCCCCCAACCCCTAATAATCCTATACATAAAACTGAGACTGGTTTTTTTCTGGCTCTGTGAGGACAATCTGGAAACAGTTATGTATCACTTGAAATAAGTTCACCTGCAGAGAAACCTCTTCTTGTAGCAGAAATTAAGAAGTTATTGCTTGACTGCATTTAGTCATAGGATTCCTGTCTTTTGAAGAGATACTGGGGAGTTCCTCTACTGCTGTGATTTACGTTAGGCAGCCCTACAGTCAAGTAAACAAATAGCAGCACTGTGGTGTGACACCAAGGGGAGGACTCTTTCCAAAATGCCTATGATTGGTAAGGGTCTGTGGAAGGGACGGCCAGCCTCTCAGTGCATTGTTGCTTGCTTTAAGCCCAGTCTGGGCAGTGAAAGCCCTTTTGATCAGGTGAGAGGATGAGAGAATGCAGCACCTCTAAAGTACACATTTCACCTTCATTTTGCCCCTTGCAGCGTGACAAAAAAAAACCTAATGTGTTGCTGGTTTTGTCTTCAAGGGGTGGCTCTGTGAGCTGTTACGTTGGAAAGAAGATCCATCACCAGAAAACAGGACCCTCTGGGAGAATCTCTCCATGATCCGAAGGTTCCTCAGTCTTCCTCAGCCTGAACGCGATGCCATTTATGAACAAGAAAGCAATGCAGTTCATCACCATGGTGACAGGCCTTCCCACATTATCCATGTGCCAGCAGAACAGATTCAGGTTAGTTTACCTTGGCCAATCCCGCAGAGCACTAAGTAAATAAAGCTTTAAACGGAGCGAAGGAAATTAGTGTTTCTTCCCTCCTGGTCAGGCTCAACGCAGGTCTCCCGGTGCAGGATAAGAGCGCGCTGCCATCCAGCACCGCAGTTCAAAGGAGACCGTGCGACCACCCGCAGTTCTTGTTTCGGTTCGCTGCTTGTTTGCTAATGTGTGTGGTGGTAGTGCAGAGGCAGCTCTGTGCGGGGCAGGCAAGCCCCGTGCTGGCTGTGCCTGGCTGGACAGGCACCAAGGCCAAAAGGCAGGGGTGTGTGGCACCGGCCAAAGGTCTTCCTTCCCAGCAGACCAGGAGGACCTTGTTGTGCTGCTGTTCGAAAACCAAGCAAGAGCCCTCAGCGGTGATAGCTCGTCCTGGGTAGGAATGAAGGGAAGGGGATTTCTTATCCCAGTTGAACCCCAGCTGAGACTGGGGTGAGTCAATATTTGTTTGTTTTTCCTTCAGAGCCCCTCTCCCACCACCTTTGGGAAAGGAGAGCATAGAGGCGCTTTCCTACCAGGCCTGCTGACCGCTGGACCTTGGCTGGGTGCTGCTCCGCAGGTGAGCTGGCACAAGGGCACCATGTCAGGGAGAAACAGGAGGGGATGCAAGACCCACACCATGAGGCTTGGAAGAGCTGCCCTCTACTTCAGGGCAGCCCCAGCAGGCCTCCTGCAGGAGCTGCACACCCTTTTTTGCTGGCACAGGTGCTGCCAGCCGGGAGCGGAGCTGGCTGTTATGCTAAGCTGTGTAGCCCAGGTTGTCAGTGGGGACTGCAGTCTCTCTGAGCTGGGGACTCTTTAATCACATCTCACAAAAGGCCTGAGGTCAGCCTTGTAACTGCTCCTTCTTAAAGGGCAGATATTACCCAACGCTTTTCCAGCCTCAGCTGAGAACCTGTGTATCACTTGTATTACCTATACAGAAAAATATTTACAAAGCTAGGAAGGATAGAGTTATCTCGCAGCCAGAAACAACATGAGTGTATATTAAAGATAAAGCAAACTGAATAAGACAATCCCTTAGGATATCAAGTACTAAAATAATTGTGAAAGCCTGGAAACTTGCTGTTTGATTTAGCAAAAAGAGAGAGAAAGATCTATATTAAGTAATAAAACAGCACTTGTTTGAAAATGTACATTGTTTTTAATAAAATCGCTTCTTAAGGGGATAAAAGGAGAAGCTTATGCACAGTATAAACATTCAACCACTATGCCACTTACTTAGATTTTCTTGCCTTGTTGATAAAAGTTGTGTGTTTGATCTCATAAATATTATTCACATAAGCAGTTGCATTGTAATCTCTTAATATGACTTGTAAGAGTAAGGATTGGGAGATTGGGCCTGAGTTTTGTCTCTGCTGTTCTACATGGTAATTGTTGTAGATGCATAAATATGTAGCTCAGACACAAGTTTTCAAACTGTATATACAAAGCCTCCAGTCTTACAAGAATTTCATGTGCTGGGAGTAGTCTTGAATCTCTTCAGGACAGGAGCCTTGAATGGGACTGCTCACAGACCATAAAACATGGAAAGACCTGAACAGGGATGAGGAAGGAGCCCCAGTTCCAGGGCATTTGTGTCAGATGTTAAAATATGAAGATTACTTAAAGCAGTGGCTTCTAAACCGGTTGTGGATGTCTGTGCGAAGTCTCCACAACCACAAGAGTCCCTATGAAGTGGACAGAATTAAATCCCTCCAGTATTTATACCATTTGTACAGGTTTTTGTGCTTCTTAGGGTCTCAAGGAACTGCTACTAGAAGCCTGGAAGCCACTACCAAAACACAAAAAATATTGAAGGGAGACTCTCAAAGGGAAATAAAATGCAGTGATAGCAACTGCTTGTTTTGCTGTGGTTGTTTTTTAATGATAACTGGTGGTTGTACCATAAGACAAGAAATTTGCTGATCCAAAATATCTTACTAACCAGTGCTTCCTGTGCTGTGCAGCAAAATAATTGTCAACACAAACAGTAGCTGATAAATTTACTTTTGATTTTAAACATGATCTTATAGTGTACTGTACTCTGGTGGTAGATGAGAAAAACATTTCTATCTCTAGGGCTCAGTGCCTCACCTTTTAAGAATGTTTCTGAATCCATGCTTGCAAAACTTCATCTTAAGCTCTTGTTAATTATTTACATCATGATTTGCTTTATCTTATTCTTCTGATGTGCATATTGGCTCATTTTTATTGCCTGAGTTTTTGGAATGCAGCATGTTCCCTTCTAATAATAATAGTGCAACTTATTTAGAGCTTTGCATCTTAGTGCTTTATAAATATTAACTAAATAATCCCCAGCACAAACACAAAGGCAGGTAAATAGGTCTGTTCTCTGTTTATTTGTTAGGATACAGGCAGTGCAGGCCTGCTTAGAAAGTACAGGCAGGAGAGGTCAGATCCAGAAGGAGAAACACAGATTTCCTGCCTCCAGATCCCTTTGTCCTTGCCGAGGCTGGGTTTGACAGCGCCACGTTAGGCACTTCCAGCCAGCATATTCTGTTGTAATGTTTGCAAGTTTGACAAGACTTCAGTGCATGCTGAGGTCAGATCAGCAGTGAGATATTTCTGAGAGAGATAAAATGCTCTCCTTCCCCCTGACTCCCCAGCCCGTTCGTCTAGCTATTGCTAGAGAGTTGCAGCCCTTGTTTTTGGGCAGCAGCTGCCGTTGCTGGCAGAGCTCCTGCACGTTTGCCCTCATCTGGCACTTTTCTCACTTTGCCCTTGCTACAGTTCTGGCTAAGCTGGTCAAGTTAATCCTATACTATGTCATTTAGCATTTTGTCTTGTCTGCACTTGACTCATGGAGCATGTTCATTAAAATTTGTCAGCTAAACCGCACCGATATTGTATCATCGGTGCTTTTGGTCTGGCAAAGCTACAGTGTTCTTTTTGTTCTTTCTTTTTTTTCCCTTCCTTTTTTTTTTCTTTAAACTTACTAAGCCTTTGTTTCTAGCTCTGCAATTTCTTCCCCCTACTCCCTCCTCAGGATTTTCTCAGTTACAAAATATGAGCAAGAATACATGTACAAAAAACTGCTGTTCTTTGTCTTGCAGCAGCAGCAGCAGCAGCAACAGCAACAACAGCAGCAGCAACAGCAACAACAACCAGGTCCCAGACTACCCCCAAGGCAACCGACAGTAGCATCACCAGCTGAATCTGAGGATGAAAATCGTCAGAAACCCCGGCCGCGAACAAAGATTTCTGTTGAGGCCCTAGGGATCCTACAGAGTTTCATACAAGATGTAGGCCTGTATCCAGATGAAGAAGCAATCCAGACTCTCTCCGCTCAGCTTGACCTGCCCAAGTACACCATTATCAAGTTCTTTCAGAACCAGCGATATTATCTCAAGCACCATGGGAAGCTGAAGGACAATTCTGGTTTGGAGGTGGATGTTGCAGAATACAAGGAAGAAGAGCTGCTTAAGGATTTAGAAGACAGCATCCAAGACAAAAATGCAAACACGCTTTTTTCAGTTAAACTAGAAGAAGAGTTATCAGTAGAAGGGAACACAGAGATTAATGCTGAATTGAAAGACTGATCTAAAAGTATTATTTTCTTTCAACAGTGCCGCTGGTATTTACTAATGAAATGAAAATTCCATCTTGCGTTGTGTCAAAAACCCTTATTATTCATTGTTTGGCCAATGAATCTTCCAAAACTTGCACAAAAGTTGAAAAAAAGGATAATGCAGACTGCACTAGATGTTTTACTCTATTTTACAAACTGCTTCGCAGCAACAGATGAAGCGTTGAGGATTGTTTGATATTAATTTGTGTTCACGGGATACACTGTGAGTGTACCCAATAAGCATGATACCAGTGATTTTGATTCTGGAGCCTTCAGACAAGCATTACAACTTTTGTGATTTACTGTTTTTTCGTTTCTGTTTTGTTCTTGTTTTTTAATTATTACTGTAGCACTCCACACTTGATCTTTGAAAAATCACATTTATTTAAAAAAGTAAAATAAAAAGAGTTTGTTACTCTTGTTCTATTGTATGTTACAAAAGAACTATAGACTGTGGAATGCAGTTTAAAGATAACATATGCCAACAAATGCCTTGTATTATATGGCACTGCCGTAATTCAGATTTGTTTTCTTTTGGAAATAAAGGTCACTGTATTTTTTTTTTCCATTCTCATTGTTACATGGTTTTAGAGAAAATGAAAAAGAAAATGTGAAACACGATTTAGTCCTCATTATTTATTTGTAGATCCTGCAGCATCATGTTGTAATTAATTTTTTTGGAAGTTTCCGTTAAATGTAATATTGCTTCTCTTGTTACCATACTGATTTTTTTTTTCTATTTATAAATGTATTTTGATGGGCAGTAAAACAAAGTGTCTTAAAAGTTTTAAATAGAGAAAATGTGCTTTACACAGTTGCCTATAAAAAGTGCTCTATGTTATCCAAGCAATTCATACTATAAGCTTCACTCTTATTGTTGTATGCAATTTTTACTATCATGCAAATAAGCTTAGGTAAATAAAACTAATAGATCACCTTAGAAACTTATGCAATTAATGTGAAAATAATTGATGTTTGCAATGTGTCTTCCTTTGGTTTACAATCAATTTTAAAGCTACAGCTGTATAAATTTTCTGTATAAAGGTGTATTTCTTTTTTATGAGTTTATTGCTATGAAAACACCAGTTATTTTGTTACAGCTGGCTGTTTTTATAAGTGTATCACAATTTTCTTTATGCAGAAATGTTCTGACTAGGAGTGGTTATTGACTGTAACTACACAATTAAAATTGTTTGTATGGTATGATATGGCAGGGTTTGTCTGCGTATGTGTGTATCTGGGAGGAATAACTTGTTCTTAGTGCACATCATACCTTCTTGCCACCACTTTGTTCTCCTTTAAAATCACAGGCAGATTTTTTTTTAATGGCCTTCTTAAAATTTGAATTTAGATAACATACTTCAAAAAGAAACACAGTTTGGTTATGAAAATCATAACCTGTCTTTTCTTGGTTTAAAAACTTGCCTGCCCAACAGAGATAGCAGGATATTATTGAGTCAGAAGGCTATCAGGCATAAACATATTTACAATTCCTGGCAGTAATGCACTTATAATGGATACAGCTGGTTTTATTTTACACTAGAATTATGCTAACACTGTTCCTTGCACTAATGTATAAACATTAAAAAAAACATTAATAGTCATAAAATAAATAGGAAAGATGGGCTTTGCCCATAGCAGTCTCCTTCTAAGCAAGATTATTTTTAATGATCACTAATAAGGTTCTTGATAAAGCCATAACAATTGGTGACCTCCAAATTTATGCAAGGCTCATGTCTAGGCTGAAGAGCAGTCTGCAGCTACAAGTTGTGGAGTACACGCTGTTGTTCTCCTAGGAGAGAAATAACTCACATGCGGTGTGACTCGGGATGGGAATTCAGCTCAGTTCTTCCTGAAATGACTAAAAGTTTACAAAACTCAACATGAATTTCAAAGGCACAAATGACTCTTAGCAAAAGTCTTGGTTTAGTTCCATTAAGTTCATAAGGAAAGGCTGGCCTTTTTCGCAACGTTCTTTGTGGGTCCACTGAGCAGCTCTCAGCTGCGGCACCTCTTGGCTTCTTCCAGGACTGTGTTGGGACTACACCATGGTTTGGGCTTGGGATCCAGTCCAGTTGAAAGAAAAAGCCTTAGTACCACTCTGGAAGGGAAATAAGCCTTAGGAGGGACACATCTATGTAATTTGGCATTGCATTCCAATAAAAAGGCAGTAAAACTATGTTCTCGCTTAAGGGACTTGTAGAAGCTATAAAACTATCGATAGCCCAAAGCTATGCTGGTCACTAAAAGGCAAAAATAAGCCTAGTCTAGGGAAGCGACTGTGATCATGATTGGATTTCTTCCCTTATTTCAATGGCATTGTTGCTGTGTGCAGCCATGCAGATGGAGCTAGGACTGACCCCTGTACACAGCTGAGGGGCAGGGTGTGTAGCCCCCGCATTGCAAGCTGATTTGGTGGGCAGGACAATACTGCTGGCACCCTTGGGTACACTCTATAACTAATAATGTGTGCAGATACAAGGCAGAAGGAAGGGGAAGTGAAGGAAAGACTTGAATGTACCTCTCTCCACACTAAATGCTAGTACACACAGCACTCCAAATACCAGAAAGAGGGCAACCCTACAAAAGCATAAGAAGAAATGTTTAGTCTATGCTATTTTGCAAGCAATTTCCTTTCCTTTTATCATTTTAAGTTTTATGGGTGCTGAAGTACAGGCCATGTGTGCTTGCAGATGGTTATTATAGCTGTTTCTTTTCCATTATCTTCATTGTTCTTTCTCCTACTGTAGCTGAGGTTATCTTCCAAATGGTTCAGCCTCTGTAGTCACACATTACCTGCACAGGAGTTCGAATCATTGCCTTTTTGTGTCCCAGTGGGTGGGCTGCAAGTACAGTCTTTTAACTTGACCCATGTGACCAAAGCATTTTTGTTAAATCTTGGCAGTGTTTTCAAAGGTGATATGGGTATTAATGATTCCAGCTTTCTGTGAATGCAAGAGGCTTGTACTGTTAGGAATTCAGCTACAGCAAGCACATGCCACCTTGATTCATGGGCCAGCTAGACTACCTAGAAAATTACCTTATGTCCTTTTCTGTTCCTTAAGTTTCTTTTTCCCACCGTCTTGTGGAAACATACCAAAAAAACCCAAACCAACGAACAAACCCCAAGTGAACAAACACACCTTTCCACTTCAGCAAAGATTAAGAGATCAGACTGGAATTCTGTAATGAAGCACTAAAATTGAGACACAAAACCACTATTAATTGGGAAGCTGTTAGTAAAACTCACTGAGTAGGTCTTCTCTAAATGCATGAAATGGGTATATACTCATATATACATACATATAATATGTAGTATCATATGCTACATGTATACTTAGGGAAGAATGGGAAAAGAATATTACTAGGAATAGACTTTAACCTGCAAAGACAGCCAAATGCCTAAAAAAGAGGGAACTGAGTGCTGGGAGAGGATGGTGGGACTTAGTTTCACTATAAAACTGAAGTTAAGTATTTACCATGTTTTATATAATGGTGTTTACCATAAAATGTGGAGTATTTGTACTCTCTGATGATTCCCATTATTCTATATTTAACTGACAAGATTTATGTGTATATGCTATATTCCTCAGTGTATGTTTTTCCACCCTGAAAGAAACCCAAATAGGCCCCAGATTCCAACAGGTCCATGGCTTGGGGACAGTCTCAAGCCCCAGTCACATCTGCAAGTTGCTTATAATTATAAAGGCTCACTACCGTACAATGCAGGGCTTTAGTATGACTACTTAAATTGGTAAGATGACCCAGCAAAAACTGTCCATATATAAAAGTAAATTATTGCACTCAATTTTTTCCTTTAGTTGGGAAGGTGCAGCAAATTGAGAAAGCAAAAGGTTCCTCTAAACTGGTGATTTTGTTGCAATTTACAAAGTCAGTGCTTTGATTGTGTGCTGGGAAAGCACCAAATATTACAAGTTCATTTGACAAAGCAAATGCTCCATATGTTAAGAGCAGTGTAAATGAGATATTATAGAGGCTCTACTAGAACATCAAGTATTACTAATTCTGCTTAACTTATTGAACTTGTGCTTTGAAGTCAGGTACATTGCAGAGACCAAAGGTATTTTGATTTTTACATAATGATTTATATTGTGCTTTGAATAACAGTCCCATAGCAAAGCAGGGATATAAATATACTCCCAGGCCTTTTTTTGCACACAGAGGTAATTTAGGTTGGTCTCCTCACAGTGCCTTGCATCCACACACTCTTTTACTACAACAAATGAGCTAATAATTCAAACTGCAATAAGTGATCCTCCTTGGAGCAGGAGTAGTGCTACTTGGCAGTGAGTTTGTTTGCTTTCAGGTTCATACGGGAGCCTTCCTGCCGCTGTGCTGCTGGCAGCCCTCCCACTATTTCAAGCAGCATTGTTTCCTTTTGGCCTGACCCAGGCACTCTTCCTGCTCCAGGTCATCTTGGCCAAATGTCCTCTCAACTGGTTATAGGCCATTACTCAGGTGTATGTGCCACAGTTTAATATGAGGCAGCAAGGAGTGTATGTGTCTGGTGTCACCTGCTCTTTGTCATCACCATTCCTCCCATGAGCCCTGCAGAGCTGCTTGAATAAGCCACTTGCATTGGAAAGAGAGTGATGCCTGGAGCAAACCCACCAGGAGACAGGTTGCTTCTGAGCTGATGGAGTAGAGGGGGCAAGGGAATGTGCATTACACAGGGGAGAAAGAAGGAAGGTGACAGAGAAAGATGAAAGAATCAGGAAGATCACAATAGCTACCTTTGCATGGACAATTGAGCTTTTTTTACAAGGCATGCTGTGGCAAAACTCAAAATACTACAGAGCACTCTCAAACTCTGTGGAAAACACACAATTGTCTCCAATTGAGGGATTTTCCCTGTCAGGCAATATCTAGTTTAATACAAAAACCTTCTCAGCTGTCCATGGCTGAAGAGGTCCCCTATCAGTTTGTCCTATGGTACCATCCCTGTAAGGATTCTCTCTGCCAGCTGTTGATATGTTACCATGGCAGTTACAGCTGAGACTCTCTTTCTAGGGTACTTGCTTACCCATACAATGTGCTAAAGTATCATCCAGGCTGTAAACCCTTTCATTTTCTTCCAGAATCACATCCAAACACAAGCAGTGCACTTCCAGCCTCAAACCTACTTTTTGGAGTTGTCTCCTACAGTGCTCCTTCTCCTCAGACCAGATATGCCACAACAAAAGTGTTGTATGGCTCAGATGTTTATCATAGTGCAAGAGAACAGAAAAAAACGTTACTTTTGTGGGTACAGAGATTTATGAAGAACACACAGGTCAGAAGTTTTGGAGCAAGTGAACTGCCCCAAGAGGCTTCAGAGAGAGATTTCATACTGCTGTAATTGTCTCAAAACATCAGTTGCAATGATGGGGCCAGAAAATTTCATGTACAATCCCACTAGATTTGCAGAAGACCTTCTGCCAGAACAGAATTTGAAAAAAAGGGCACCCTGTTTTGTTATTTGCATTACAAAATAAACATTCTTTACTGTATGAACCTTGTTGCCCTTCCACATCTACACTAAAGCAGGACCCTGTCCTGATAATGAGCAGCACTGCCTCAGCTGTTTGTCCCTCATGTGTGCCCCATCTCTGGGGTTTCCTCTGAATGTGGCATGCCCCAAAACAGCTTCACTTATCTTCACTCTCCCATCATCAACCATGGCCTTTTACCTGCAGTCAACATTTTCACTTGGGGGAAGTAATTTAAAAAAAAAAAACCACAAACTTACCTTACAACAAACCAGGGCAGGGAAAGGTAAACTGGCCTGTCTTTTCACAAAGGAGAAGTGATTCTTTATCATTAACAGCATGTGAAATAAGTAGAGGTGTTGTTGTTGGCTTGCCTTAGTAGGAAAAATGCTATATCCCCAACTTAATAAGGGTTTAATATCAGCTGGAAGAAGAGTAAAGGAGACAGAAAACAAGGAAAAGGGAGCAAAAAGAAATATCTAGATAAAGTCTTATTGGGGGCAGTTATGCCTAGAGATGGCTGGAGAACTACAGGACTAGTTTAAATTAAAGGAAATCCAAGCTAGCCAAAAGAAAAACTAAGTGAGGACCACTTCGTGGTTCACACACTGGATGTCCTGTGAAAATGAGGAAAGATTGAACACAGACTAGTTTCAGAGGAAATACTGAGTAGGAAAGGCTTCTATAAAAAGGCAGCTCAGCTTGCTGCACAACCATGCATG